ATCACAACTGTTTCCATTGATTTCTACTATGATCAACTACAAAATCGTGTTTTGCAAACCTCTTTTCGCCACTACATTTCATCATATATTTTTATTGATCAGGTGATAACCCATGCGATGGTAGTTGCAGCCATCTCTGTCTGGTAAAACCCGGAGGTTACAAGTGCGCATGTCCTGCTGATGATGGTAACACACAGTGCACCGAGAGCGAGCATGTTACTAGTAAGTAATAAGGGCCGGGAACAGAATAATTTCCACAGTCATTACAATATTTTGACCAATGCTCCCTTAAAATAATGATTTACTCGGGACATTTCTGGCTCATGATCATCGTTAATCACGAATCAACGAAGACAGAGACGAAATTTATTTATCCACTCCTTCTAGAATTCACCTGTATTTATTTTCTTAATACTCAGCTAATATAACTCCCATTTTCTTCTGTCAAGATTTCCATGGTTGCGAAAGTGACAACAGTCTGTATTTTATTGACCGGCACAACATTAAATGCATTGAACTGAAATCCGTTAACTCAACGTACGCCAATATTAAGACGGTGAGGTCTGACCTTATCCTGGGAGGTGCAATCGACATAGACTATCGAGGACGGATGATTTATTGGAGTGACAACTCTCTTTGGACGTTGAATCGAATGAGTTTAACTTCTGGTGAAAAGGAGGTAAGAAATAACATGATCTGAATACCTCGAAGTAAACAAAAATCAGTAAACCATGCATGTCAGGCGAAACACATAGACTTGTTCCCTGATTCTCAAAAAAAAAAAACAATGGGTGGATGCTAGAAGAAAGAATAAGCTATTTCTTTTTAAATATGGGAATGAGGAAACTCTTCGCTGTTGTTGATATATAAACTGTACTTAAAGATCAGAATCAATTATACGGTTAAACTGGATTAACCAGCTCCGTAAATGTTTCATGACGGTCTGTTTTCTCATGTTTTACCCATATGAATCACTCAAAGATCATCATAAGAGACAATTTGGGACAGATAGATGGATTGGCTGTTGAATGGGAAAGTGGTTTGATTTACTGGACTGATTTCATCTACGAGAGGATTGAAGTGGCGAAGCTTGACGGAAGCTCTAGAAGGACATTGATATCAGACAAGATTTTCAGTCCTCGAGGAATAGCTGTCGATCCTATGAGTGGGTAAGCTATAGTTGTTGGCATAATGATCGATTTTGGGCATATGGAGCAATCAGTGTCTGGCTTTTGTGCCGTGATGCGTCTGCCTTGGCACAACGTTGGTACATAGTTTTAAAGCAAATAATTTATCAGAAAAATAAATAGTCAATCAAATTGGTTGCATCAGGTCAGTCGATTCAATCATGTTTATCTCGTCGTAGGTTAGTCGCGTTGGTAAAATGGTTTTTGAACTAGAATGTGGATTGGAAGTGTCGGGTCAGGGCCCAGTTTCTCGAAAGTCCCGGTAACTTAACGGGTCCGAAGTATGTTTTAAAATCAAAATTTGAAGGATAAGGAAGCTGGTTGTGGCACCCATACCAGTCCTTTTTGTTTCTTTAGCTGTTAATTTTATTGTATCATTTTCAAAACTTTTGAAATCCCCATCTTGAATGAAAACAGAACAGCTTTACAGGCCCTTTAAGTTACCGGGACTTTCGAGAAACGTGCCCCAAGGCCCGAACCGGGTCAAACCAACATATAAAATTCCAATTCGACTTGGAAACAATAGACAAGAGGAGCCCCCTTGTGGAATGTCCATTGCTAAATCCCATTTTTATGATGATTATTATGTGATGATTTATTGTCATTAATATTATTATTTCATGTGGTCTAACTCAATGTCCAGGGAAAGCTGATAATAGTCTGGTGCTGTTTTGCAATTGAACTGTAATCCACGAAGGAGACCTACCAAACTCTTTCTGACAGAAGACGCAATATTCTTTTATCGATGGACCCAGAAAAAACTCTAACTAAACTCTGGTCAGGGGTGATTAGGTTACATGTCTCTTGACTTGATTAACTCACCGTGATTAAGAAATAAGCAAAAGCGAAAGCTTAGGCGTTTTCCTTCTGCTGAGAGTAGAATTGAAAGTGTGTCAATCTGACTGAAAAGGGGAACACCATTTCAGTTAGACCGCTTAGAATTTCATAGAAAGACAATAATATCGGTATGTTTCATCTTCTTAAAGGTACTTATTCTGGACAGATATTGGATTTGATCATCCAAGAATTGAACGGTTGGACCTAAATGGTGAAAATCGACAAAACGTGGTTACATTTGGCTTTTTTGAGACTGAGCCTATGAGTGTGATAGTTGATTATGAAACTGAAACCATCCACTGGGTAGACAGATACTATCATGTGTTCCAGCAAGCTGACAAAAACGGGAGTACAGTAGTTTCCACTGCATACATCGGACAGAACATAAACCCGGCAGATCTGGCCTTGCTCGGCGACCTCATCTATTGGGCGGACAGGAATAGTCGTAGTATTGAGTGGTTTAACAAGACGCAGAAGCTAAGCATGCATTATAACCTCGGACACCTCACTGATGAGTACCCCACTGGTGTTGTGGTGTCAGACAAATCGAGACAACCTGTTGGTAAGTAGTTCTATTAATCAGAATATTGTTTTCTGTCCATTAAATGCTTTCGTTCGCAAACGATTGGTTAAAACAAGTCACATGACCACTTACGCTCCACCCAAACTTTGGAATATCTGACCATATACCCGCATTTATATAATCTAATTTCAAGTCTAAGGTTTTTACTATTTTTTCTGCTTTCCAAGCCTCCTCTTGATAGTTTCACTAATTTTATCTTCGTTATCATAAATGTACACCAAGGCTTGTGTATTCTAAAAGTAAGGTCATATTGGATCAGGGCAAATTCTGCTCAAGGAACAGAATAACTCGCTGTAAATAAATATGTATGTTTGTTCCTTTTTTTTTTACATTGAGTGCTTTAAGATTATTGCGTAGTTTTGCATCCTTACTGCGCATAACTTCACACATAACTAGGACGAGGACATAAAAAATGGCAGCTTTTACTTTCAGGTCAGAGCTCACCAGAGAGTTAAATCGTCATGTTCTTGCAAACGAGCACAGTGACCACCCTCTTTCTCTTCTGGTGAAAATGTCTTTCTTTTCATTAAATAGATTTAAATTAGTTCTAAGTGAAGGAAAAGGAAAAAATTTCGGAAACACGATCTAGCAAGTTCTTGAAAATACAATTATCATGATGTTATAAAATTTGTGTGGGTGTATCTACGAGGTACTCTGCTTCCAAACGAAAACCGCGGAAACCCCTTTTCGTATTCCCAAATTTACGTTACTATAATGTAAACATCTAATAGGTAAAGTTTGGCAAAAATCCCAGTGTAGGTTCTATTTCAGGGGCCGGCTTGACAATAAATGAAGTACGACTCTTATATCAATATAAAACGAGTTGTGATTTTGGTGACTAACAAAAATACCTTTCCTTGAAGCACCCGAATCTCCGTGTCGCTTACACAACGGTGGATGTAGCCATCTCTGCCTTATAGCTCCCAGTGGGGTCAGAAAGTGCGCATGCCCAGCTGGTGTGAAATTAGAAGACGACAATATGACTTGCAGTGACGGTAATAAATATTAGGTCACTTATCATGATACTATAAGAGATCTAAAAGTCGTGAAGAGGCCAGTGCATTATTTTCACGATAGCATGCCATATATTTCTCTCCCCTCTTCTTGTTATAAATTTAACGAGAGATGCAGACAAGGTCTATTACACTTGCAGATTCCCTCTTTTTTCATACGTATTTGATCCGTCCGTGACAATTTTTGATTTGACGATGTTATTTTAATCTCTTTGTTTTATAGACGTTATACCAAAGCCACCTCCAATGCCTGTGCCAGGTAAGTATTCAAGTATTCGTTTTCGGTCATTTTTAATAATAATAATAATAATAATAATAATAATTATTATTATTATAATTATTATTATTATTATTATTATTATTATTATTATTTATTTCTTATACAGCGCTATTTACAATGACAGATCAACAGCGCTTTATACTCGATGTATAAACCCACCCATCCCACCCCAGGGGAGGACATCCATCACACAGTAATCTCGTGCGAGGGAAATTAACGTCTCCTACCCCCAACCCTGCAGGAAACGGGACGTCCATTTATTCGTCCTTATCCGAGAAGACTAGAATATCTAACCATTTCTTGATGTTATAGAAAGTTAGCAAATTGTTCTCAATTATTTTAAGACCTTGAGTGTTGTTCCGGCCGGTGTTTGAACCCTCGACCTCCCGCACAACAGTCCAGCGCACTATCCTCTGGGCTAACTGAGATTAGAATGTTTCAGCGGCAAGTTTCATCTGACATCATCCGTGATTCTATCGTGGTGCGGATTGTGTGATTAGTCTCCTTTTAATCATTCTACCTTGAGCTCATGGCATATGAGCACATATTGAGTGAACAAACAGATAACTTACCGAGAGGACCGTCAGCTTATCTTGAAATGTTACTTTAATAGACATAAACTTAGACGACAAAATTTCACAGCAGACCAGAGAGTATGAAATTAGCGCATTACTAAATATGATCTGATTTCCTAAGTTTCCTTTCGCTACAGTATTTTGTATTCTACAATTTGGTTTATGTTTTTCGACAGTTGTGAAAGTACGTCTTAGTGGCTCAGGCTCATCTCACGAAGGTCGTGTTGAGGTGTATCATCAAGGAAGATGGGGAACAGTCTGCGATGATCACTGGGGCATGAGTGAGGCTACAGTTCTCTGTAAAATGTTGAACTTCTCAGGCGCCATCCGTGTGGAATACTTTGGACCAGGAGACTATTCGTTTCCCATATTAATGGACAATGTTAAGTGCCGCGGCGATGAAAACAGTATTGCTGCCTGTCAGCATAATGGATGGGGAATAGAGGATTGTAGTCATTCCGAAGACGCAGGAGTTGTGTGTAGCAATGATTCCGCTCCTCCCACTGAAGGTAAAGTTTTTGGATATCACAGTTTGTACACCTTTGGCACGATCGTATCTCAGTAGCAAGTGTAAATATAAACAAATTTAAAATAAAGAAGTTTGTCCGAGTGCCAAATAATAAACTACCTACCAACATCGCTAGCTTGAGTCGCCAGTAAGAAATATTGGCTCTCGACCTCGGGCCAAAACTTTCACAGTATTGGCGGCCCAAACGCTCGGTTAGTTAGAAATTAGTAATAAGGTTTTCTTTATGAGACTGTCAAATAAATTAAAAGGAAAATGATTCTGTTAAAGACAGAATTTTGTTGCTAATCTGTTCTACTTTATACTTTTCATTTCTTAAGGCCCAACACTTTCGCCAGGACCACATCCAGGTGAGTTCATTAGGATTTTAGTTTAATGTCTTAATCATTTACATGTCACAAATACCCGAAAGGTGTTGTGACAGCGGAACCACAACAACTTACTGAGGGTGTTTTGCCTACTCTTGGTTTAGAACTAAAGGTTCGCTTGCGTTCTGGAATCACTTCAAATCAAGGAAGAGTGGAACTCTTCCTAAACGGTACGTGGGGAACCATATGCGATGACTATTGGGGAATCGAGGAAGCAAATGTCATTTGCCGTATGCTGGGGTACGCTGAAGGTGCTTGGAGCACACACTGCTGCGGTTGGTACGATAGATACAGTACACCAAACCAGATTTGGCTGGACGACGTGCATTGTGATGGTGACGAAGACAGTATTACAGAATGCCGCCATGGAGGGTGGGGAAGTCACAACTGCCTCCACTCCGATGATGTTGGGGTAGTCTGCAAATACACACCATTGCCGAGGCCAGGTAGGCCAGAGGATGGTAAAATTAAATGATAGAAGACAGAAATTCAATAATTCCATGAAACTGCAGTGCAGCGATTTCCTCCTTTTTTAACTTGAACTAGTAGGTAAACTTAAACTTTTCGGTAAGAATAAAGACTTCAAAGATGACTGAAAGTAAAACCCGGTCGGCTTTGCTTAAAGGCAGAACCTTCTGTGGCCTGAAACTCGCTCCCTCCCCTCCCCCCTCCCCCCCATCCCCGAAAAAGAAAAAGATATCAAACATAAAGTTGCCTTCATATTTCGAGCCGAGAGTCATTTCATGGAACCTCTCTTACGGATCAAGTATATACTGAGTGCGGCTCAAGGGGTAACCATGAACTCTGTTGAATACGTTATCTGTCCTGTATATTCGTTCCTATGTTTAACATTTACAAGAAAAAAGAAACAATTTCCATCCTTTATGATAACATCCAATTAATGAGCATTTTTTTCCTCAGGTCAAATACTGAGACTTGCTGATGGAATACGTGACGGTGAGGGAAGAGTGGAGATATTCCATGATGGCCACTGGGGAACTGTTTGCGACGATTCCTGGGATAAAAAGGACGCAGACGTTGTCTGCCGTCAACTTGGGTATCGTGAGGCTATAAACGCTCCCACAAGGGCTCTTTTTGGAGAAGGAAATGGTCACATTTGGTTAGCACACGTAAACTGTTCAGGTGACGAAAGTTCAATCGAAGATTGTCAGCACGTAGGATGGAATGTACACGGCTACTGTTTTCACGAAGAAGACGCTTCGGTTATCTGCTCGAACGAGACTCGCAGTCCAGGTAAGAGTTTTATTCTCAAGGGTAAGGTATGTCAACTACTAGATATGATAAGAGGTCCATTTTAAAGTGCACCTAAACCCAAAAAAGTTTTTTTCGCTTAACGAAATAAGCGTATTTTTTGGAGCATTTCTGTGCAGAATTGTTTTGTTTGCTCAAATCTTCAATTTTCTGTGCCCAGTCAAAATACGGCAAATCTGCCGCCATCTTGGCTCACGACCGAGTTTAAAGAGGAATGGTTCTAACGGGTAATGTGACGTAAAATCGAGAACACGAAAGTCTGCATTTCACACATTTTCACTTGTATGGGAAGGCTGTCGTCGATATTGTCCGAAATATGCCGACTAGGTGTGTTGTATGAGGAATGTATGAAGCGCGATACCCTCTTGCAAATTTCGCACGTTGCTACATCCTCTTACAGTCGGCATATTTTCGGACAATATCGATTACAACCTTCCCAAACAAGTGAAAATGTGTGAAATGCAGACTTTTCGTGTTCTTGATTTGACGTCACATTACCCTCGAGAACCATTCCTCTTTAAACTCGGTCGTGAGCCAAGATGGCGGCCAGTTTTCCATATTTTGACTGGGCACAGAAAATTGAAGATTTGAGCAAATAAAAAAATTTTTGCACAGAAATACTCCAAAAATACGCTTATTTCGTTAAGCGAAAAAAAACATTTTGGGTTTAGGTGCACTTTAAGTCAAGCATTGATTTTGTAGGATTCACGCATGAGGGAAAATATTCTTAATGACACATATTTCTGTTATTCTATCTGTTTACCGGCGTAATAAACGGGACGTTGGAAAAACATCAACACACAAGAAAAGTTTGTGAAAACAAGAGGCGCAGCTGAGTGGTCTACAACTGATTTTGGTTCTCATGTCAACTGAAAATATCGTCTTCGATGACAAGTGTTTCTAAACGCAATCAGCATTAATGAAGATTCAACTGCCATATTCACGTTTATTGTCCATCGGGTTTTAAATCATCATCGTCCTTTGTTTAGGCTTTCAATAGGGTTTCTAAGTAAAATTGATCTTCTTTTAGGCTTGGTATCCAATCTAATCTCATTTTCTTTGTCACGAGGTGACATGAAGTTATTCCTTCTCACCACGTGGAAAAATGGGTAATGGCAGGTTACATCCCCTTCCTCGCCGGGTTTTACTAGCTTTAAAGTCTCCTCACAGACACATCTTTTTCATTTATATGCACTGTTACAGATGCAGATGATTTCTTGCTATTTTGCGAGGACGACCGTAAACTCTGCCACTTCCAGCCTTTGCCTGCGCCCAATTCTCATGCACAACCGATATATCTAAAGATTACTCTCAATTCTGAGCCAATTGCAATAGCCTACGATCCACAAGAGAAACAGATGTATTGGACAGATTACAATAGAGCAATTAGAAGAGCCTCCATACATAATGGCATGGACGAAGTTGTTCTCAGCGACTTTATCTTAACGAGTATACAGATAGACACGGTTGGAAGAAACATGTATTTTGCTGACTATTACTCCGGTAATATTAGAGTTGCCTCTCTTGACGGAACCTATCAAGCGGTCCTAATTGACGTAGAGTTTCCTCAAGGAATCGCCTTAGACAGTGAATCAAGGTAAGCTTCACTGTTTAAGATAAAAGAGAGTCTTAATGTTAACGCCAAGTATTCCTTTCACAGAGTTATGGAGCTACGAAATCGAACTACGGCTTACGGTTAAAATTTTGGCTAGTTTAAGACAAACGGTTGACATAATTCCATTGTTATCGCCTGAAATTTTTATTTCGGTTAACTCAGTTTTTTACGATTAACGGTCAAGTATTTGTCAATATCTACGCCCAACGGTTAAATCTATTGGCCGTATTGACCCCACTGGGTACCTCCAGAACAGAGATAACATTACGGAAGTGTGAAACGCAAGCAAAAGCTTCTTGCATTCCTTCCTCTTTCCTCCCACACCTCTCTTTTCCTCAAAAAAATATTCAGAAGATATTTTTCTCAGTTTGCATCAGGAAAAACCTGATGAAATATTTGGGCAAGAGTCACGAGAGCTTTAAAGTTAAAACATAAGCATTTAAAGGTAAGGTTCGATAAAGTACAATACAATGCAATATTCTTTATTTAACGAAGGTGACATAATTAACCCAATGAGTTATCTAACTTACGGCCTTCAAAAAAGTGGAGTTATTCTGTTGAAATTTTCCCTGATAGGTGTTAAGACTCCAATTTTGCTGGGCATTTTGAATTGTTTTATCATTGAGCTTGTTTTTCCAAGCCTGGGTGATTAAATGTGGAGGGCGGTTGTTTTTAAATCAATAATTCAATATTTATTTCTAATGGTGATTCAAATAAGTGGAGAGCAATTTGTATAGGTAATCACATGATTTCGAGTGCGATTTGGAATAAATAAGCACGAGTAGATTTTTTCAAAGACTAAAAAAATTGCACGAGCCCGTAGGGCAAGTGCAATTTGTGGTCTTTGAGAAAATTTACACGTGCTTATTTATTCCAAATTGCACGAGAAAATCATGTGATTATCTATTAATAATATACATGAAAAATACGAGGTAGCTTCTTATAACTACGCAGAAGAAAAGCGCGCGCATCATGTGCAAAAATAATTTATTCAAACTCTGCAAGTGACATTGACCTTGACGTTGACCTTGACATTGTCCTTGACATTGACATTAACCAATCATTCTGACCAATCAGAATGTCTGATTTGTTTCTTTCTTTGCACTGAATTAACCCTCTTGTGCACTGAATTAACTCTCTTCTGCACTGAATTAACTGAAAACTGCATTCATCTTAACCAATCAGAACCGAGAAATTTTTTCATGTATATTATTAGGTCTGAAATCATTCGAGTGATTTCAAAATCGATCGAGCGCGCAAGGCGATTTTGATTTGAAATCACGAAAATAATGTCAGACTACAATTGGACAACGCGAAGTTCAGTTGCCACTTTATTAAAATTGTGATTTTGATTTGTTTCGAACAGGTACATATATTATGTATCGCATGGATATGTCACTACAACAATAAATCGAGCTGATATGGATGGAGAAAACCAGATGGCTATCGCAACTATGCCCTTCATTATATCTTATATTCACATAGACTTAGCTCTGGATAAAGTCAACAAACGTTTGTACTTTTCTGACCGAACTCACGACAAAATACATTATGTTAATCTGGACAATAAAGAGGTCCGCTCATTCATTTCCGGAAATCTCCAGTACCCTAGAGGACTGACACTTATAAACAATACGCTGTACTGGACTTCTTCGGGTGACGGAAAGTTTACTGGGGCCGTCTTCAAAGCAAATATCACAGACAACCCAGTTGCTCAAGAGATGGTTGTTGATCTGACGAATCCGTCGGCGATATATGCACACAACTCTATGATATCTTCCGGTAATTGTACGATAGTGGTGTAAGACTAGTTAGCTAAACGACCGCGACGCCATGAATTATAATTAGCATTTTAACCTAAGGTCTTGCCAGTGCGGCTACTTACTAAAATCGTACGCCCTTCTGTTTAGCTGCCTGAAAATCTTATTCTTTTACCTTTCAAAGTACTATTTTTTCGATCTTGAAAGAACACACGGCTGACAGAGAACATGATTTTGATAGCAGTGTCCACCAAGACTTTCGAGACACGGGCCGGGCCACTCGAAAAGACGCGACATAAGAAAGGATGGGTTATCGAAAATTTCTGATGTGGATACTGTTTTAAAAAATTACATTTGAAACTCGATCGCGTTCGAGGTAAATCCCAGGAAATCAAAACCAAGTTAACTATCAATTCTAGTTTAGCGCAACTGCTCCCTACGTGGGAATAAAAATTTAACTAAAGTGAACTAATTTTGTGAAGAAGTGTTCTACCGTTTGTAACATACTGTTGACGAACAGAAAAGGAATCAGTTGGCCAGTAGGTATTGCGCTTGTTTGAACAAACTATCGGCACTTTCGAAAAAAATCTCGTCTCACCCGAGTTGCTTTAGAGTCTTAATTTTGGGATACTTTATTTTAAAACAGAAAAAGAATTGAAAGCGGACCCGTACAATTCTTTTTTACAGTGATGTGCCTCGAGCAACTTCTACGCTGTTCTCCAATGCTTTCCAAGCTTCTTACATGCATCCATGAGTCGATCTACGCATGCCAAGCATGAACCAATTCTTTATTTAACTTTTGCTTTCCAGGTGAAGCACGATGTCAGAATAACGGTGGATGTGAACAGCTCTGCTTGGTGGCTCCAAATGGCCAGACGTGTAGGTGCAGGTCTGGAATGGTATTCTCAGACGATGGAAAAACCTGTAGGTTTATTTCTGTATTGCTTTTTAGTTAAGAACATGTGAAAGAAACCATAACTTTCCTGTTCTTTTCTTTTTGTATGGTTCATATGCAATGATTAGTAAAGGCTTCGAGGTTCATTTCAAGGTGAAAAATTGATGACGTTATCATCAATGATAACGTTATCATCAATGATTGACGCAGCCCCAAACAGTTTCTTTCGAAACTATCAGCCTTTATTCATGACGTAATTGTCAACCTTACTGTAACTGGCTTTATCAACCTTGATTCTATTTGGAGGAACAGAACAGCCCTCTGACTTAAATGTCGCCCAGGTCTGACCATAATTACAAATAACTGAATATCTACGAATGAGTGCTTATGTTCATTTTGAAAACAACAACGGGGCCTAGTTGTTCGACGGCCGATCAGCGCTAACCCAGGGTTAAATTTAATCCAGGTTCTTTTCTCTCTGTTCAAGAGCCTTTTCACGATAATTGTCGCTATTCTTTCGAGAGCATCCAATCGTCGAGTTGCAGACAAAAAATAATTGTACTGAATTTTTATTTAAAGCTTTCATATCTTCAATCAGATTTCACCCTAACCCTGGGCCATCTTAAACCAGCTTTGAACAACTTGACCCAGGACATTTTAGCAAGATCTATGTTTCTATTTCCACTGCTGACTGACTGGACATTTCTGGGTCGAGGGGCGCCAAAAAAGTCTACTTTCTTACGTGTGTTTTCTCCCTTTGAAAAATATCATCGAGAGTCTCTCTTATGTCTCATAACGAGGCAACCATCCGCAATAATTTCATTCATGCCTCCTCCTTTTTCCTCCAGGTACGCTTGGTGACGTCATACTTGTTGCCGACATCGGTTCCCGGAAGATTTTTTACTCGGAGCTGACTAAGGATATTCCGACTCCTATACCAGTTCCCGAGGGAAAAAGTCCCGTTGGAATAGCCTTTGATCCATTCAAAAAGCGCATCTATTGGACCGATTCCGCTCTCGGTATAATTGCCCGATCCAAATTTGATGGAAAGATGTACGAAGTAATACGTAATGTCAGTTCTCCGACGGCAATTGATTTGGATCTTGTGGGTGGAAATCTGTTCTGGATTAACAGTGCCGAAGATACAATCGAAGTCTCGAATCTAGACGGTGATAACTGGAAAGTGCTGATTTCTGACCCGAAACCATCGCTGCAAGACATTGTGTTGGATACAAAAAGAGGGTAGGTTCCGCTTTCATTGTCGTATTACAGTACAGCTGTGAATGCGATGCATTGTGTACAGTTGAACCTGTTTTAAGTGACAACGTATTAAAAGAGTCAGCCTGTGCCAAGCGCTTGGTTTTCAAAGCCTCCATTAAGCGGTTGTGGTCACCTTTAACTGAGTCCCGACGCGACCTGTTTGTATTGTCTTTGACCTCTTTAGAACGGTCACTTAAAACTGAACCACTCTGACATATAGTAAAGAGGTTCCCCTCCACTTCATTTAAGTGTAAAGAAAAGGTATTGTTACTCAGCTCGTACATCGTATGCTAGCTGTTCCTATCACAGTTGAATACAACTACTCTAAAGTGACCTGGAAACAATGGAACAAGGGAAACAGTGTTATCGTTTCTGGATTCTGATTTTTTTTTCACTTTTTTAGATTGTGTATAAAACAAAACTGCCACCGAAGATTTGAAGTTTTGATTTTTCAAACGAAGTTCAATAAGAAATTTTATGCTTTTGAGCTTGGTTGTCTTTCTGCAATAAAACGAAATTAACTTCAAAATTACTAAAATCAGCTGAAAGGAGACATCCCAGGAAGCTTTAGGAAATAACCCCCTTCGTTATATTTAAACATGTTTCTTTTTCAGCTACATGTACTGGTCGGCTTTAGGATTCATTGAAGGTGCAGAACTTGATGGATCAAACAGGACAACAGTCGCACTGGGAAATAGCTCCTACGGCTCTCCTCTCGATGCCCTATATATCACCCTTGACGTTACATCTAATCGCATATACTTCGTTAGCTACGATGAGTTCGCCATGTTCTACATCGATCTCAGTTCTGGAAACCATTCAGTCCATATGATTCTTCAAGATTTTTTCTTGTTCTTCCACCCACGCGGAATAGCTGTCGATGACCAATACGTATATTGGGGTGAAAGTTATTGGTATTCAGCGGTTCTGCGAGTCAATAAGACTTACCACTATGATATTTCATATGAGGTTTCGAGGCTGTCTGACCCAGGGGAAATCGTTGTTAAAAAAGGCCGTTATGAACAAGAAAGTGAGTACTTATTATGGCAGTATCACACTAATAAGGTGTAGCGCGAAACATGTAATTTTTTTTTTATGGCAACTTATTTCTCCTTTAACTTTGGCACTATACGAGATTGACATCACACCCTTTTTTGACTCTCCTTTCTTTTGCCTTCTGTTGAAACCTTTCAAATTCATCCAAAATTTTTATAAGCTCTTGAATATTCCTTGTCTTAACGAACCTCTCACTGCGGGTTTCATTCTCATAGGTTGAATTTCTTTCTTTTATAGCAATTCATCCTTGTAGTAAAAACAGCTGCACACACCTTTGCTTTAAAATTCCATCTGGATACAAGTGTGATTGTCCGAATGTCACAAGCGACGGACAGCCTTGCACCCCATCAGTTGTTGTTTGGCCACCGCCGCCCACGACCGCGCCAACGACCACCAAACCCCCCCCAACGACCACCGAACCTGACTATTGTGCCAGTGCACCTTGTAAGAATGGAGCCTCGTGCAAATCTTCAGTTGATAAGAAGTTCCACTGCAGCTGCGTAGGATACTTTGGGGGTCTTACTTGCTCGGTTCCTATTGGTGAGTTAGAATCTGCGCATTGGATGTATAAATGTGCATTGTGCGAATTCAAGGCACAACCGTTGATATATACTTTTCTTTATAACAAATTTGACACCTAAAACTGCCTTCAGAAAAACTTTGAATGTTTCTGTTTGATATTTACTTTCCTTTTTTGCTATTGTATTTTGTTTATTTCTTGTTACTTTTCTCGGTTTTGCTTTTGGTGTAAATCCAAGCGGAAGAGCTACTGTTGTTTAAGTCTCCATGAGCTTCTTAGCTCCATCATCTTAGAAGGTGACTTTGTTTGGCCTGTTCCAAGCTCCCAGTCAAACAAAGGAAGCAAAAGAGTGAGCGAACGAAAACCGTAGGTTGTGGCTGTCAAGGAGGGGGGGGGTGGCCCACTTGTGTTGAGAGGCATGAGTCCCGCCGTTTTTAATTCGCGTTCCAGCTTTTTCGCTTTTTCTGCCGACAAATAAATAAACTTGCAGGCTAGGATAAGTTAATGGGGAAATGATATCTTATTTGGCTAATTTTTCTTTAATGCAGAAGAAGAAACGGTCCAGATAGTCATAACAGGAGTGACTGTAGAAAAGGTTAGTCAATGTATTACTCTTTGGCCTTTGTTCATCCTCATAAAATACACTCGGCTCTGTGTCACCTTATTTGACCTGAAAATTTTTGTTACGAAAATTAACAATATAGATGAACATATGCACCATTCTGATTGGCTGAAAACGAGTACAGTTTTCATGCAGCACGAGTGCAAAGTTGTAACACGAGTGCAAAGTTGTAACACGAGTGCAAAGTTGTAACACGAGTACAAAGTTGTAACACGAGTGCAAAGTTGTAACACGAGTGCAAATTGCATATGGCGCGCGCGCTGTCAAAATTTCGAATTTGTCTGTCTTGACTTTCTGTGATGCCGTTTTCATAATAATAAGTGATAACATGATTTCTGTTCAAATTGGCGTAAATGAGCGGTTGCTAGTTATTCAAAGACTGCAGGTTCTACAATATCGCAGGGCTACTATTATCTTTGAAAAAATTTACTCGTGCTTATCAACAGGGAGTAAGGAAATGAGGAGGAAAACAAAATCGAGATATCATGGCAACTGTTCATCGAAATATTTCATCAAATCTATCCATAAGCCATGTTTGCGCGTAAGGAGGCCGTATCGAGCTGGTCAGCCCATGGAAATTGTTAATTCTAATTTGCAAGCTTCTTGTAAGCTGCTGATTTAAAATAAAGCAAAAAATACCCTAAAGGTTTTTTTCCCATGTGCGTTATCAAGCAATTCATTCCTACGATAGTTCCCTCACCAAGCCTAGCGCGAAAAAAAAGATCAACAAAGGTTTTATATTTCTCAAGTTAAGGTCATATCCTTAATTAACAATTTAGGAGAGATTTCCTTTGAGTTCTCATTTCATAACATAATTATTATGTCGTAAACGCGCTCTCTCCCTGAGAGTTTTTAATGACAATGTCAACTGTTTGTTTATATCTTTTTAGTTCAATCTAACGGCTTTCATAGTCTCGATTGTGAATTTACTAAATGACGAATGTGCTAAGAATCCTGACTCATGCCTTTTTGGCGAAAGGTAGGAACCAAAGATATAAAAAATAGTAATAAATGTGTAAGTAAATATGAAAATAAATATGCGTATGTTCCTCCCCTCTTACGTATTCAGCAACTTAATACCGACTTATCAAGCTGTGTATCCCCTAATTAATTATGGTATAAATTATGTTCAAGTAATCATCCATTTAGTTACCTACTCACTTGTCTGCGTGTCCAATAATTAGTTCAACTACTATGATACTGATGGTGATATACACTCTGCAACTGATAAGTCTGTTTCACCAACAAACTCGTTCTTTCTCTTAACTTATCTCTATCTTACCAACAATTTTGCTTCATTAGCACTTCGTCTATCGTCAAACGCGCTGTAGGCGATGGCCCGTTTAAACCTGAAGACATCTATATTCCTTCTCGTCCAAAAGAAGTTGATGGAGGAATCCAAGTGGAGTATGCTGTGGTTAAAACTAGTGATGAAGGCAAACCTGTGCCAGTGCCAGCTTCATTCGTCGCTGATGTGACCGAAAAGAAAGCAGCTGAGATTGGACGTTCAGTTGGAGGAACTGTAACTTCAGTTAAACAGAAACCAGTTATAAAAGCCACTTCCACGCCACAATCCGGACGATCGAATGCAGGAGTGATTGCTGGAGTTGTCGTGGGTTTGTGCCTTGTTCTCATTATCGCTGCCTTGGCCGTTCGGTATTTCAGGTACGTAGGATTCTTATGCAGCAAAGTTCACTGCGCTGATTGAGATTACCTTGCTCTTCCGGCTGCACAAGAGAAATTCGGTTTTACATATGATACATTAATTATTTGCAGAGCATAACTATCAACTCACGTCGCATTACTTCACATAACGTAACACAACATCACGTTAATTATCCTCGAACAATGCAATCATTCATTTGCCTTGACTGATTTTTATTAGAATGAAAAGGACTGGTAGATTAAACTTGCCCTACGTGAAAGAAGTAGACGAGGACGAGTCGAAACGTCGTACAACGGCCTTTGAAAATCCAGGATACGACAGCGCCGGTATTGGAGAATATGACGACATAAATCCGGTGGTCTTCTCTCCGTTTCAAGAAACGACAGAGGCCAGCGGAGTGTCCAATCCAATCTATTCTGAGTTAGGCATGACTAAAGTGACCTCTTCCGAAGATGTCAACAAAGACGAGGCTAACGGCGAATCCGCTGATCCAAGATATGCTTCCCCAGGCGAGCTGCCAAAAAAGGAACCACTACCGGACGATAAAGAGGCAAAGCCGGAGTACGTGGAAATCCTTGTTCAGGGGGACGCATACAAACAAGAAGAGCCACGTTACGCTTTACCTTTTGGTAAAGAAAAAGGAGCAAAGAATGACCAAACGGCAATTGAAATGGAAAAGGAAGAAGACCGTTACCAGACACTAACAGGAAATGATGCTTGGCGGACCGCGGCAGTTTTGGAAGATAACAAAGAGCCTAATGATCAAACACAATCTTAAATCGGCAGTCCCTGGATTTAGTCAGCACCAACGAGAGACCTTAGAGGGCACCTAATTAACTGAAATTAAAAAGGAATAAACGTAAAAGAGGGTCTCAATGGGGTGATGGCTTTTACGACTAACGGTTAAAATTTTGGCCATTTTACGGCAACCGAGTTATTTTTTTCGTTGCTATTAGAGGAAAAATTTTACGGTTAACTCTTTTTTAACGACTAATGGTTAAAATTTTTCAGTTTTTACGCCTAACGACTATTTTTTTTTTTTTCGTTTAATGGCGTAATGGTTTACACCATTGAGACTCTCGTAAAGCACTTGCACAACATATTTTGGCTCTGTTGCAACTATTTTTGCAACTGACCCCTGACCTCAAGAAACTACTTGCTGATTTCTACTACTAATGCTATTGATAGTGAGACTACCAGTTTCCCTAGTCACCAGCACTAACACATGCTTTTACATGATAACATTGACACAAAGTTTGTTACTACTATATTCAAGGTAACTTTAACTACTACCATGTTTGGTGCTGCTGATGACTTCGTTCTTTTTACTGCCCTTATCTGCCAGGGTAAAATTTTTCATTGTTGTTAAGAGTTGACTTTGCGTCTCTTACCCTTTGGCCAGAGATCATGCCAGTCACTCTTTGTTAGCTAGAAAATGAAGTATTAATCAAATTAGTAATCTTCTTAGAGAACAGTAAAGAAAACATTGAGCTGGTTGACTGCAAGGTTCGATCAGGATTTCTCTCATTTCGATAGACTAATGGTTACATAGTGTCGGTAGTGGAAGGCAACCTTTTAACTGATTTTTTTAATGAATACAACAAGGTATTATTCTTCGAAGGTCAAATACAAATATCCGTTTTGTTCTTAAAGTAAGACGAAGTATTGCACTTCTTTAAAATCTTCTATTTTACCTTCGAAACAAAAGTGTACTCTTGTTTTTTTCTCTTCTTTCTTTTATTTTTTTATGAGTGGGTGGAACAAGCTTTGAATTAAAGTATAAGCATATGTACAATAATTGCAGTGGTTTGATCGGACAAACACGGAAAGGAAAGACAAAAGGAACGAATAACGTGTTACTAGTGACTCGTGATAGCCTGAGGAAAAAATGTTCTTCAGAGTTCGTGTTGTCGGTTTCATGATTCAAAAGTAATTAAAGTGGAGAAGGGAATAGGGTGAAAAAAAGGGAGATTTGAACGATAGCAAAGGAGTGATACACCAACTCCACCAACACCACCAGATGAAAGTGATATTTTTTAAAGTAATGACTGAGATAATACTTAGCACTGTAGAGTAGATATACTATGCTATGACAGCCTAAACTTGCAGGAATTAATCAGTAGGTGCTAATACAGTGTAAAAGGTTTAGCATGGGAATGTACCATTCTATGCATGGATGTAAAAAGTCGCCAATTTCTTGTCGGCTTCCTCACAGTGCTTAGGATAATGACCGAGATAATTCGTATATTAACTCACAACTTTTGTTTTTTTTTTCATTGTATGTTTATTCTTTTTGATAAAAAATTGGCCGAAAGTATTTTTATAAAGATCAAAATTAAGAAGCCTCCTTTTGGACGCTCTCAGACAAGGAGCAATCCAGGGTAATTTTCGAAGGGAGCAGCTGCACCTGCAGGTCCTGTGCGTGCCCTCGGATGAAAGGCTGCAATGTTCTCCTAAGTTCCAAGTTAGGCTATCGAGTGGCTAGCTTTGGGTTAGGCTTCTCTCTTGATTTTAGCTTTGATCTAGTTTTGTACTTCTTTTTATATTTTAAAATAAACTGAATAACTTCATCGGCGAAACCAATGACTCTAATGTTTGTCTGTGTCAGGTTGAATTCTAAAGGGAGTAAGCTTATAAAGAAACCGTGGTGCTGCCGGTGGAAGAAGGTTGTTTAGATTTCCCCCCGTAAAGAGTTTCAAGTTGATGTTCCGAGTGCTAGCCCTTTGTCAGAATGAATTTTTATGATGCGAAAATTAAGGGTGCGCACAAACACGGCAATTAATGAATGCGGCCATCAGAGGGAACTTCGCTGACATGCTACTAAGTTTGATCCGTCTGCCCTTCAGGAACTCCTGGGGAACTACAAGTCGCTCTATGCCAAACTTCGCCGTGTTTGTGGGCATTCTTAATTTCGCATCATAAAAACTAAAAGATAGATAAACTTCAAGATCTAATCTTTCGTATGATATCAACGAAATGCGAGAGTGAATGGAATGCGATCGGAATTTTCCATATCCGACGTTTGCAGGACGGACTGTTGATCAATTTGTTGGGTGCGGTGGTGGCTTGCTTAAACGACAGAAACAGGATAGCCACTTTTAACGAAAAAACTAGCACATTGCCTCTGATTTGTTGAATTGAAGTGTCGGAAATTACTCTGGCATATTTCAGAGCCGAGTGAAAGGAGTCGATTGTCGTTATAAATTGAGTTAACTCCTCTCTGGTAGAGGGGGTAGCGCAGATACAGCCTTCAATGTAGCGACCGTAGAGTTCAAGTTTGAGGTCGTCGTATTAGCTGAAAATGTTGGCATAGCTTGGTCCCATTTTTGGTACCCATGGCTACACTATTAGTTTGTTTGAAATAGTTGTCCCTGAATCAAAAACAGTTGAGTGTAAGCACTTGTTCGGCTTAGCGAAGTAGCGTTTCAGAACTAGGTTCCTTAATAGTGCGTAGATCAAAGAAATGTTTGAGGGTCAGAAAACCTTCGTCATTGGGAATGCCAGTATAAATAGGTGTAATATCCATAGTGTAAAGAAGTTGTCTTTCCCGAGGAAATTTAAGTCGCGAAAAAATTTCAAGGGCACGGTAGCTGTCTTTAGTATATGATGGAAAAGTTTTGACAGTGGGAGCCATAATTTTGTCTAAATAGCTGGAAAAAAGGCCGAGACATTGGATCGACCTGGGTTGTAAGGTTTGTGGATTTTGGGTAAAAAGTATATACAAAAAGTTCTGGAAAAGGTGATGTTGATATTTTTCGCAGTAGCCGGCAGTTCTTGTTTAGCTACGAGATCGTTAAGCGTGTTTTGACAAAGTTTTGATTGATGAAAGCGAGTACCTTGTCAACCTTCTGACAAAAGAGGTGTCAGAGAGATATTATATTTATTATAAGTTCACACAGTAACCATGCAGGTGGGCAATCAGACATGGTTTAAAGATTTCATGAATATAATCGAAGTTACAATTCATCGACCCAACGTACATACGTACATACGTTTATTGCAACTCCCAAGCTGGTTTTTTTCAGTGACAAAGCCTACATTAAATTAATGTAATATTATAGTAACATTTATTTAGTAACATTATATATATATCATTATATATATATATATATAATATATATATATAACTAACTGCAGACAGTACTGTTTCGGCCTTCTGGGCCTCATCAGTGCAGTGCTAATGCTAGGATGGGGGAGAACCGAGACGGTCACCCCAAACGACCCAACCTTTGTGGTATCGTCTAAGCCATGCCAGAGTGCTCAAACTAGAGTAAACCAGCGAGCATGCGCAATTGCAACGGCAATGACTCATCCTAGATAGAGTGCTCAATTTGGACATGAAAGCAAAGCTTTGTATGCCAAAGAGCTATATCTAACTGCAGACAGTACTGTTTCGGCCTTCTGGGCCTCATCAGTGCAGTGCTAATGCTAGGATGGGGGAGAACCGAGACGGTCACCCCAAACGACCCAACCTTTGTGGTATCGTCTAAGCCATGCCAGAGGCGCTACTAATTGATCGTTCAAAGGCCTTTTCTGGGATTTTGTCGGCTTTTTAGGTGTGGATTTGACTCAGAGGCCCTGCCAAGGGATCTTGTTATGATTAGTATCGTTTAAGGGCCCCTCCAGGGATTTTGTTGCTAATTTGCCCTCTCGGGCTCCAAAGGCCTTGTTTTGGGATTTTGTTACGGTTTACTGTTGTAGTAAAAAGTGGGCCTTCCCTTTTTTAATGCTCGCCGCATTGCTTCTTTACAATTGATTACGCCACTCATATTAACATATTTAGTATTAAACAACAACAAACATATGAAACATATGAGTGAACTGCGGTTATGAGACGTATGTTTGTTGTTGTTCGATTTATCATCTACGGGTTTATATCGAATTAATTTGATGGCCTGCTCCCAGTTGGCTTGTTAGCTCAATTGGTAGAGCGCTGCACTAGTATCGCAGAGGTCAGTGGTTCGAATCCCGTACAGGCCTGAAATTTTTTTCAGGTCTGATTTCCACTATTGCTCAAATAGTGCTTTACTGCGAAGGATCGTTCTTATATACGTCTCATAACCGCAGTTCACTCATATGTTTCATATGTTTGTTGTTGTTCGATTTATCATCTACGGGTTTATATCGAATTAATTTGATGGCCTGCTCCCAGTTGGCTTGTTAGCTCAATTGGTAGAGCGCTGCACTAGTATCGCAGAGGTCAGTGGTTCGAATCCCGTACAGGCCTGAAATTTTTTTCAGGTCTGATTTCCACTATTGCTCAAATAGTGCTTTACTGCGAAGGATCGTTCTTATATACGTCTCATAACCGCAGTTCACTCATATGTTTCATATGTTTGTTGTTGTTCGATTTATCATCTACGGGTTTATATCGAATTAATTTGATGGCCTGCTCCCAGTTGGCTTGTTAGCTCAATTGGTAGAGCGCTGCACTAGTATCGCAGAGGTCAGTGGTTCGAATCCCGTACAGGCCTGAAATTTTTTTCAGGTCTGATTTCCACTATTGCTCAAATAGTGCTTTACTGCGAAGGATCGTTCTTATATACGTCTCATAACCGCAGTTCACTCATATGTTTCATATGTTTGTTGTTGTTCGATTTATCATCTACGGGTTTATATCGAATTAATTTGATGGCCTGCTCCCAGTTGGCTTGTTAGCTCAATTGGTAGAGCGCTGCACTAGTATCGCAGAGGTCAGTGGTTCGAATCCCGTACAGGCCTGAAATTTTTTTCAGGTCTGATTTCCACTATTGCTCAAATAGTGCTTTACTGCGAAGGATCGTTCTTATATACGTCTCATAACCGCAGTTCACTCATATGTTTCATATGTTTGTTGTTGTTCGATTTATCATCTACGGGTTTATATCGAATTAATTTGATGGCCTGCTCCCAGTTGGCTTGTTAGCTCAATTGGTAGAGCGCTGCACTAGTATCGCAGAGGTCAGTGGTTCGAATCCCGTACAGGCCTGAAATTTTTTTCAGGTCTGATTTCCACTATTGCTCAAATAGTGCTTTACTGCGAAGGATCGTTCTTATATACGTCTCATAACCGCAGTTCACTCATATGTTTCATATGTTTGTTGTTGTTCGATTTATCATCTACGGGTTTATATCGAATTAATTTGATGGCCTGCTCCCAGTTGGCTTGTTAGCTCAATTGGTAGAGCGCTGCACTAGTATCGCAGAGGTCAGTGGTTCGAATCCCGTACAGGCCTGAAATTTTTTTCAGGTCTGATTTCCACTATTGCTCAAATAGTGCTTTACTGCGAAGGATCGTTCTTATATACGTCTCATAACCGCAGTTCACTCATATGTTTCATATGTTTGTTGTTGTTCGATTTATCATCTACGGGTTTATATCGAATTAATTTGATGGCCTGCTCCCAGTTGGCTTGTTAGCTCAATTGGTAGAGCGCTGCACTAGTATCGCAGAGGTCAGTGGTTCGAATCCCGTACAGGCCTGAAATTTTTTTCAGGTCTGATTTCCACTATTGCTCAAATAGTGCTTTACTGCGAAGGATCGTTCTTATATACGTCTCATAACCGCAGTTCACTCATATGTTTCATATGTTTGTTGTTGTTCGATTTATCATCTACGGGTTTATATCGAATTAATTTGATGGCCTGCTCCCAGTTGGCTTGTTAGCTCAATTGGTAGAGCGCTGCACTAGTATCGCAGAGGTCAGTGGTTCGAATCCCGTACAGGCCTGAAATTTTTTTCAGGTCTGATTTCCACTATTGCTCAAATAGTGCTTTACTGCGAAGGATCGTTCTTATATACGTCTCATAACCGCAGTTCACTCATATGTTTCATATGTTTGTTGTTGTTCGATTTATCATCTACGGGTTTATATCGAATTAATTTGATGGCCTGCTCCCAGTTGGCTTGTTAGCTCAATTGGTAGAGCGCTGCACTAGTATCGCAGAGGTCAGTGGTTCGAATCCCGTACAGGCCTGAAATTTTTTTCAGGTCTGATTTCCACTATTGCTCAAATAGTGCTTTACTGCGAAGGATCGTTCTTATATACGTCTCATAACCGCAGTTCACTCATATGTTTCATATGTTTGTTGTTGTTCGATTTATCATCTACGGGTTTATATCGAATTAATTTGATGGCCTGCTCCCAGTTGGCTTGTTAGCTCAATTGGTAGAGCGCTGCACTAGTATCGCAGAGGTCAGTGGTTCGAATCCCGTACAGGCCTGAAATTTTTTTCAGGTCTGATTTCCACTATTGCTCAAATAGTGCTTTACTGCGAAGGATCGTTCTTATATACGTCTCATAACCGCAGTTCACTCATATGTTTCATATGTTTGTTGTTGTTCGATTTATCATCTACGGGTTTATATCGAATTAATTTGATGGCCTGCTCCCAGTTGGCTTGTTAGCTCAATTGGTAGAGCGCTGCACTAGTATCGCAGAGGTCAGTGGTTCGAATCCCGTACAGGCCTGAAATTTTTTTCAGGTCTGATTTCCACTATTGCTCAAATAGTGCTTTACTGCGAAGGATCGTTCTTATATACGTCTCATAACCGCAGTTCACTCATATGTTTCATATGTTTGTTGTTGTTCGATTTATCATCTACGGGTTTATATCGAATTAATTTGATGGCCTGCTCCCAGTTGGCTTGTTAGCTCAATTGGTAGAGCGCTGCACTAGTATCGCAGAGGTCAGTGGTTCGAATCCCGTACAGGCCTGAAATTTTTTTCAGGTCTGATTTCCACTATTGCTCAAATAGTGCTTTACTGCGAAGGATCGTTCTTATATACGTCTCATAACCGCAGTTCACTCAT